CCCTAAGCCCGAAATCCTCAACCCCAAACCCTAAACCCCTAAACCCTAAACCCTAAACCCTAAAGCCTAAACCCCAAACCCCAAGCCCCAAGCCCCAAACCCTAAACCCCTAATCGCAAGGCCTACGCCTGCCGAAGCCCAAAGCCTGACCGCAAGATCTTCGAGTCCGCCTGTGAGCTCAGTGCAGAACTCTGTCAACTTCGGGTTTCCTGGGCTTCGAAACGCTCGGTTTAGGGTTTCTAGGATTTTTCGGGTTTTGGGCTTGTGGGCACAAGGCTAAAAGGGTTTAGGGGTTAGGGTTTAGGTTTCGAGGGTAATTTGGATTTATGGGTTTGGGGGTTAACGGCTTCTGGGCAAAAGGCAAAGGGCTTGGGGCATACACTCGGCCCTTAAAGGGGTTTCCAAGCGGGTATCGTAGAGACACAGTATATATTAGATGGACTAGGTTTCCCAATTGCCAATACAGGCAACATCTGGTGTTCACTTCAGGGGCTTTACTTCACCAGGTTGTTGCGCTTTAGTTGGGGCATCGGGGGTTCAGGGCTTACAGTAGGGGCTGTTCAACTACTCGGAAGACATGTTTCATATCCTAAACCCCTTAACCCTAAACCCNNCTAAACCCCTAAACCCTAATCCTTAACCCCGAAACCCTCGAACCCCAAGACCAAGAACCCCTAAACCCTAAACCCTAAACCCCCGAGGACAAGTTAGGGTTTAGGGTTTGGGGTATGGGGTTTGGGTTTTAGGGGTTTAGGGGTTTAGGGGTTTAGGGGTTTAGAGTTTAGGGTTTAGGGTTTGGGTTTAGGGTTCTGAAACTGAGCTCCGCCACCTGACTTCCTGCTGAGAAACCCCAAGACTCCAAATATCCCAAAGTAGGTACCATTTATAGTGATGCTTGTAGATCTATACAGGTGCATACAACACTTAGTACAGCCCGGTCTTCACTTGGAGGCCCTTTTGACTTAGTAAGTCTACTTAGTATCCCCCAGGAGCCCTATTATAATCCCCATAACCCACCTTACTAACCCTACTTACTAAGTCAAAAGGGCCTCCAAGCACTGACTACTTCAGAAACCGCTCTGTTGCCGGCTTCGGCTCTCTCTGGTCGCACGTAGGTGCGGAACTCGTCGACACGCTCCAAGGACTGTGCATCCACGAGGACCAAGGGGAACTCAATGATCTCCTCGCCGGGAATTACGGCTGAAGTGTTTGAGGGATTAGGGCGTTTAAGGGTTTAGGGCGTTTAGGGGTGAGAGGGTTTAGGGGGTTTAAGGGTTTTTCAACGTTTGGGGTTCGTAGGCTTAGGGCTTAGGCTTAGGGGGGTTGGGTTTGAGATGTAAGGCTTGGGATGTGAGGGTGCCTTCCGCGCCACTTTCTCAGGAGTCTCAGCAGGTCTTCGAGGTATTCGGGGCTTAGGACCTCGGGTTGTCGAAGTTGGGGAGTCGAGGGAGTCGGGCCTAGGAGTTGAGGCGTCAGGATTTGAGAGTCTTAGAAGCTGTTAGGGCCTGGGCTCGGGGTGTGAAGGCTTGCTTTGTTGTTTTTTCGAAGTAGTTTAAGTGGATGAGCGTATATCTGAGACTTCAGTTTCAGTGAGACAAGCCTGCAAGCGCCCAGCACCCAGATTTGTCAACGCAACTTCAGATGCCATCTCATGTTTTGACGTTATGCGCCTCGATGCAACAGCAGAACTTTGGAAGCACATACCAATGAACATCTAGTCCAAGCCACATGCAATGCACACTTTGTAGATCTCAGAAGGCCGAAAGGAAGGCCAACAAATCCGGCGCTGCGGGCAGAATGCCTAAGCCTCCGAAGCATCACACCCCAAACTTCTACAGCAAGCTGGGCCATGAAGATCCGGAGCCCCCAAGAAACCTTAAACTTAAACCCTAAAGCCTAATCCCTAAACCCTGGACCCTAAACCCTAAACCCCAGATAACCCTTAACATTAAACACCCTGAAGTCGAATTTCGCCCTGCAAGGCCTAAACTCTGAACGTGAAGCCACGGGAAACCATTAAACCGCCCTCAAGTAGTTCCTGTTTGGGGTTCGTATTTAGAATCCTATTCGGGAAACCCAAAAAGGAACTACTATGGGGCCTATAGGTTAAGCCCACTCACACCGGGCCCCCGTGATGGCCTGCGGATTCAGCTTCACGTTTTCCTCGCAAGTAGCCTCGAAGTCCAGCACTGCAAAGCAGTCCCATGGCAAAGCCGCTTCGGCCTCTCTTTAAGGATACTGTTTAAGGTCTGCGGGGGAGGGCGGGGGGCGGAGGGTTTTTTTTGTTTTGGCCACACTCCCTTTTCAAAAGGTTTGCCGGCATGGTCGTTTAGCGTGCCGGAATTGCCATTTCTGCGGTTTTGTGTGGCCTGAAGCTATAGGGGAATTGGGCTTCACGAGGGTTGCCGCTGCGTCAAGCTATTCTGGAACTGTACGCTTGAAGGCTTCGTTTTGCATCAGGATATTGGGGACCTCTGATTCGTAAGGTGCTGTTCCATAAACTCTAAACCCTAAACCCCGATTTGCCGAAGTTTTTTGGCCTCAAGCTATTGTCGAATTGGATGTTGTAGGGGCTTCCCTTTGCGCCAAGCTAATTTTGGAATTGCAATTCGCAAGGTTCGTCTCGCGCCTGAAACTGGCGTCAAGCTATAGGAGAACTGGGGGGGGGTTCTCTTGGAGCCCATTGGGGAAGTCGCCTCTAGCTACAGGGCAAGTGGACTTTACAAGTAGGTTCCCGCTGCGTCCAGCTATTGTGGAGTTGCATGGCGCAAGGCTTCGTTGTGCATCAGGCTATTGGGGAATTTTGTTTCGTACAAGGTGCAGTTTCGTGGAAAAGCTTTTGGGGACTTGCGGTTTCCCAAATCCCAAATCCTTTTTGGCCTCAAGCAATACCTAAAAGAATTGGATTTTGCAGGGGTTCCCTTCAATTCGCACTATTCGTTTTGCGACAAGCTATCATCGGTGACTCGCTGATTCCCGCCCCCGTTGGCGAATCCAGTTCATCATATATCTT